ATATAAAACCAATTACTGAATTATATATTAAAACAATATACCAATTACAAATCTCAATCTATGGTTTAAAACAATCTATTTGTACTTGTTGCTACTAAAACTCTCTTATTCCTTACTTCAGTCAACAGCTTCATAAGAGGTACATCGTTTTCATAAGTTTCACATTCCTTCTCAGTCACAAATATTCAATCATATCCCTAATTATCTGCTCTACAGAGCAATTGCACAGATGATGTAAACAATGTTCCTTTTATGGAACAGCAGCAATAAAATGCAAAAATCTAAATCTTTATTTCCAACAATAATATTCCTCTAAGGTAAGGAGCTCTTGCTCAATTAACTCCACACAAAGCCTTTGGATGGTTCACCAATTTTTTCGTGCCATCTTAAAAAACAAACGAATCACTGCTGCGCGTTACAGAACAGTTGATTTCTAAGAATCCACGCAGCAACTCAATCAAACTCAATGGCATGAAGACTTGCATGCTATGTTGCCTGAAAATTGAGTTTGTCAGTCTCCCTGCAAGTTGCGTTTCCGTTTTCTCAATTTGCACTGCCCCATTTACTAACATGTGCTCAACTCTGGCTGATAACAGTTCTCAGAAATTGCGGTTGCGTTTCAGTTGCCAGTTTCCTTGGTGTGTGCCCAGCCTAAGTCTCATTGAATTACACACTCCATATATCACACATAAAGTCTTCTCTTCACAGCCTGGACTTTCAACTGAGCACTCACAACTAATTAGTTGCCATTTCACACAAACTTCCCCATCTTCTCTTCACTGCCTGACTATCAATTGAACACTGGCTAATCTCAGGGTCAGAGTCACTTTACGACTGGTGGTTTGCCGCCAATCAGCTCGTCTTGGCGACGAGCCCCTCGAGATTCACAACCAGTAATTTTATTTTCCAACTGAACACTTGTGGTTGTAGTCCTAATGTAACCTCCTCTCTGACAAGCGGATGGGTGTCATTTACAATTGCTGCTGGTCCTTGCCAGCGCAGTCCTTCTCAGGTCAGAGTCCCATGGGACTCATCACCATATTTACTGTCTCAGATTCTAGACCTCCAAAACCTGGAGGGCCAGGGCCCCATATTTATATCTCCCAGGAAGAATGTGCCTGGTTATACCCATTTTGTTGCCTCCTATGAATGGCAAGGGTACAGTGAAGCTGCATAAGCAGGCTTGCTGGTCAGTTTGTACCGATTCAAGAAGTAAATGCTGATATTGCTACTATAAAGATGAAACATACAATCCAGTTTACATAGTGTTAAACTGCTTTTAAAATTTGCATCAAGTATTATATACCAGCCTCTTGTGGTTATATCTAAATAGATAATTTTGCCATGGTGCAACGTGCAAAGTGCATATTATCGAATGCATCTGGTACTGCCGAGGCTGGGCACACTCATCATAAATCTGATTTGATGTATGCCAAATGTGCCCTTGTAGACTGGTATGATAGTGATGGGATGGAAGATTAAGTGTTCTCTGAGGCCTGTGGATGATTTTTAAGTTGGTATGGATTCTGCAAAAGGGGAGAGGATGCCTAGTACCTTACCATTCTGCATAAGTTACATCATCAAACTTTTTACATTTGTAAAACAACTTAAATTTTAATAAATTAAGGTTTGTGGACTAAGTACTGTTAAATAGATATAGAGGTTGGACAAAATAATGGAAACACTATAGATACTGCACACATTTCTTTATTAATATGGTGCTGAACCAACTTTTACCTTCAATACAGCTGCAGTACTTTTTGGAATGGACTTGCAGACGTTTTGAACCGTCTCCAGCATAATATTATACAATACTTCTTGAAGAACATCAAGTTGCTTTAGAGAAGTTGGAGGTGGGAACCTGTTCCTCACTCCAGTCTCCAAACTGACCAGAGTGGTTGAGTGATGTTCAAATCCGGTGACTGTGCTGGCCATGGAGGGTGTTGAAGTTTATCTTCATGCTCTTCAATCCATGACTGAACACTTCCAGCTGTGTGAATGGGGGCGCTAATGTCTTGGAAAACTGCATCCTTGTTCAGAAATAAGATCTGGATTATGGGATGCACTTGATTCCCTTGCAGTAATTTGGCCATGAAGGTTAATAATGAAATCAGAAGAATGCCATGATATTTCTGTACAAACCATCACAGATTCTCCTCTGTGTTTCATTGCTGGAACCAGGCATTCTAGAATGTAAGCTTCCTTGGGTGTTCTGTAAACATTAACTTTTCCTGATGTAAGTAATGGCGTGAAGGACTCATCTGACCAAATCATGCATGCATTGCCAGTTGTCTCACTGTGGTGTAAGCGAACTGGTAAATTGAGTGTTTCTAAAATATGTATGGATGCAAAGACATATTTAATGTTCATTGTGATGTCTGTAACTGCATCTCGTCTCCGCATTTCATCTTTTGAACCAGTTAACCAATTTTCACAGAATGTGTGGATATTACCCCACTAGAGGTCACCTCAGTGTCATACCTTATAATGAGCTATAATCAATAACATGGCTTATACCTGAACTTGTGAGGTCAGATCTGCACTAGCTACACTTAATTGTTCTGAAATGATGAAGAGAGACAGAGTTTAAAAAAATATCAAACTTTTGTTACTGTAATCTGTTTTGTATAATGTAAAATAATATGGTGGCCATGTGAAAATTTTCTTTCACTTTTTCAGCCTGTATGCATGCCAACAAACTCGTCAAAGTCTCAGATCTGCCAGCATATTGTAATATGACACCTGAAAGCCAGAATAGTGGACTCAAAAGTGCCACTGACACATCTACTGCTAGGCAATGGGGCACAGTGTGCTGTGACTGCGTGATGAAGTGCCACTGTGATGCAACCATGTTCACCCACTACATGAAGGGTAGCAGTGAGGTGGTAGTGACTCAGTGTGGTAGAGTCATGGCAGTACAGCTGGAAGGGCCCCTGGAGGCAGTGGGTAGCCTCACAGAGACAGATTTCATGGCTGCCCACCAAGTTGGGGTATATATGGTGAGAATGCCAGTTCAGCACTCAAGGGAAGTGCTTGTTAGAATGGTGGGAGATTGCTGGCTACATAAGGACACTAGCAGAACTGCACCTCCAGAGGATCATGGCAGGTTAAAAGGCCAACCCTAAGGAAGGAGCAGGTGGACAACAGTATGGGACTGATTCTCCAAGGAATAAAGGCTGGACAGTGTCTGGAACAGAAGGTGTATCATAGCCAGTGTGGCGTTGTGGTGCCATTCACAAGGGCGATCACAGACATAACAGGAAGGCCCTCTTGAACAGAAAAAAAATGGCAATGAATCTGTAGACTATTTGAGATGAGCAGTGTTAAGGACAGAGCAATGTGACAAGATGCCCGAAATCCAGAATGGTGGACTCAGAGATGTGCTGCAGGAACGTCTTATTAATAGGCAACAGCTTGGTAAATATGCTCTCCCAGCAAGAAATATGTACACAACAGAGGTGCTGATGGGAGCAAAATTTTCTATTCAGTCTACTCTGAAGTTACACACAGAGGACCAACAGTACCACAACAGTTAGGTGGATAGTTGCACAATTCCTAGAGTCATGAGACAAAAAATATGGTAATGAGTCATGCAGAACCTGGAACCAAGAATGACTGTGCTGGTGAGGACCAGCAGCAATTTACCTGACCAACACACCAGTCAAGGGAGTCAGGAGAGTGCAGCCAGTACAGTGACTGGCTACAGGCTGGATGGCTGAGGAGTCAGAGTTCAAGTCCCAGTAGGGGCAAAACTTGTTATGGGGTCTACCCGTCCTGTCCAAAGGGGTACCTGGGGCTCTTTCCCCAGGCATAAAGTGACCAGGGCATGAAGCTGGCCACTCACCTCCAACTAGTGCCAAGGCCAAAAATATGTGGAGCTATATACATACTCCCCCATATGTCTTCATGGTGTAGTGCTCAATTAATTAAGCGCATGAACAACTTTATTTTTTACACACCTGTTGTTGTCAGCAGTCAGCCTTAGAGAGGGTGCCACTGAGCATATAAACAGTAGACAGAATCACCATTGTTGAAAGCCACTACCAAGCAATGAGCACATGAACAGGCAGCATACAGGAAAGACTTGGAGTGTGATGTAGTCATTTGCAGATTGTGTTTGGAATAGTGACTGTGTTGTAATGATGTGTAGTTATGAGTAATTATCATCAAGTAAATTCAATAAACAATTCAAACCCTGTGTCTAGTCACATGTGATGGTTTTGATGTTGAGGCTAAAACTGAGCATAAAAATGAAGGCAAACATGTTAGAAAGAGAGTGCTAGCCCTAACTAATGAGTCACTGGAACTAACTGAAAGTTAGTGGTGATGTATTAAACATATATATATATATATATGCATCATGTATAAACTACTGTCTGAAAGTTAACAATTAGAAACATGCCAGTGATGTAAAACTATGAGGTTACATCTGACAAACTGAATGTAGACAAAATCGTTAAGTTCTTCCCAGATATAAGAAAAAAGTAAAAATAAGTCACAGATGTAATAGGAAAATAGACTTTATGAGCACTATTTGGAACTTGTTTTAGTTGTAGGAGTGGGGTGAGAGTAGGGCTCTACTGTAGCAGAGTTAAAAGCACTGAAAGATCAGGATGCAGTTATTTGTGTGTCACTGATAAAAGACACTAGCATTCCTAACAGAATGAAAAATCTAGATGACTTGTGCAAAAGAGTTATACAGAACTATGTTTGAATTTTATGACAGGCAGATTTCCAAATGTGAGAAAAAATTTTATATATACACTGCTTCTATCATTCTAAAGTTACTAAAATGTTGAGGCATAAAGTACAAAAGAAGTAATGAGAGATATAAGTTCCTAATGGATGGAGGCAATATTATTGTCTTGTGCTCTGTAATAACATGGTGAATGCTTGAATTAGAAGTGGGAGTAATAGTACTACTTCCAAAGGTGAGTAACCATAGCAGCCAAGGACCCTAAAAGTTCTCTGAAGAGACAAGATTTAAAGGCAATTCTGAATCTCAGAAAAAATACTTTACTGATCAGTTCCCTGCCATTGTGAAATCCTCACAATTCTTCCTTCCTATTTCCTGTTTCTTTTGCTTCAGATATTCCAGTCCAAGTTTTGTAAGATAACAAAGCTACATTTTTTGCACCAACAACACTCATTTCCATAGCACTAGCTGCCCATTCAATAGCATTAATGTAAAATAAATGTTTATGTAGAATGAATTCATCAGTTCTTTGTTCTGAATGATAATGTGGATAAGCTAACCAATCAACAACATGCACATCTTTCTGCTGCAAAAACAAGTCATTCAACTCTACTTTTGTTAATGGCCTCTGTGAAAATACTTTCCATACATCAAAAACTCCTTCATTAGGTGTGTAATCTACTGGATTTAATCTCCCTACAGAATTAAATACCAAATCTTGTTTTACAGTTAAGATCTCATCTACAGCTTCCTTTTCATTTTCAAACCCAAAATAGGTGACATTTAGCTTTCCATGGACTATGGTACTAACTGTTTTATGATATACACCAGGAAACGTGAAGCTCTTTGGAAAATTTAAAAATCTTATGCTTGCTTGTGTGTTTTCAGTGAGAGGCGTTGCTATAATTATCATGTCATATAATGATGACGTAAAACCTTTGCCTTGCACAGAGTTTACTAGAAAATCTTCAGTTTCTGGTCTTAAGGTTATATTTGTTACTCTAGCATTTATCAGTGTGGCCTGAGATCTCTCCAGAAGCATTTGCGGCACAATTATGTTTCCACCATGAACTGCCCAAAGCCCTCCATCAGCCCCTGCTACAGAAACTGAACCTAAAACAAAAGTATTTGTTGTTATTTTATTACATTTATGGTACAGCACTGAATACACAGACTGGCATATCTTTCATCAGTTTTTATCAGCTGGCAAATAATGTGGCATAGTGAAATAATGTATATTGAACTCCACAGAGCAGAGTCCTTGAAAAGCCAAATCACTCAGCAAGTCAACAAATTCCCTGGCTTTCCCAGAACTCAGTGTTTCATTACTGTATTCACAAGAGATAACCACTGCCTAAGTCAGTTGAACCCAGTACATATGTACCTTACATGCTCTTCCTCTAAGAGTCATTTAAATATTTTTCTGCGGGTGCTATATGCTCTCTCCAACTCACCCTGTTTCATCATCCAGGTCCAATTTCAAATTTGGTTATCCCACAGTGTATGCAAGGAAGAAAAAAAAAACACTTGTCAATCTAGTAATTTTAATCGAATCTGACTTACCAACAAACTTATGAACAGTGGCTGACTGTCCATAATTGGCTCTAAGTGTTGCAAGAACAAGTTCATCAACTATTCTTTCTGAAAAGCCATTCTCTCTGAAACCATCTTTTGTTGATACATGCATATCATCTACAAACTGAGGGCTCATTGCTTTCAGTAAGTCTGACACTGATGAGAAGGATTTTCCATTGGCTTGAAGTGTATAAATCCTGCAATTATAAAGAGAAAAGGGTACAGTTTCATATATATAAGCTAACAATAAACTGAATACAGTGTTCTGGGTTGTAACACTGTGTAATTCAGAGAAAGCATAACGTTTCAGAAGAATATATGACCTCCATTTTCTGGGTCAAGAAGTAAGCCAACAAGAAACAAGCGGGGGAAGGTGGCTCAGCTTGCTACCTGCTTCTGTTTGTTTCTTGCCTGGCTTCCTCTTCAACCCTTGTTATAGGGATGATTATACACGAAAGATATGTCTGGCTTTCTCTGAATTACACAGTGTTACAGCCCAGAAATCCACACTTTTCATGGTTACTGCTGTGAGAACACAAAAATAAATTTCTTGGGAAGTGGTAAGCTCTGGAAACACTCAATGCTTTTTAGGTTTAAAACTGACTCTGGTATGTTATTTGCATATGATTCTAGTCAAAACTGTACTTTCGGGAGATCCACAGATTGTAAGATACAGTTGTCATTATTTTCTGCTATTTTTCAAACTTCATGAAAATGACATAATCCAGTAAATGCAATGCTCATGGAAACACAGGCCAGTTTACAATACTGCCATGCTAAGCCATGTTCAACACAATGCAAAATCACCACTGTCTTTGGCTTTTCATGATATCTGGGTGTCTGCAAATATTGCTACTCTTAACATGTGTTCACCAATTTGGCTGACTATTGCAAAGCATCATAAATATTCTTCTAAAACGGACATTATCCTGTCTGAAATCAATTATTAGTAAACTATATTAATAATTTCACAATGAACATTCTGCTCATGCAGCTAATATCTACAAAGTACCCTTAATATCTATCTAGGGCACGTAATCAACCTTTTCCCCCTATTACATTCAATTGTATATCGTCAAAGGAAATAGAAGATATTATAAAATCCTTGAAAACAAAAAATTCATATGGATATGATGGGATATCCACTAAAATTTTAAAGTCAGCAGTTGCTATATTTCTTCTCCTGTAACTTATTTATGTAATAGAATGCTAACAACTGGCAATTTTCCACTAAGATTAAAGTTCTCTGAAATAAAGCCCATATATAAAAAAGGTGATAAAAATGACACATCGAACTACAGACCTATTTCACTGCTCACATCAATTTCTAAGATCTTTGAAAAGGTAATCTATAATAGAATGCAACAACATATCAAGAAAAATAATATTCTTGCTAATGAACAGTTTGGATTTAGACATGCACGATCAACAGATGATGCAGCTTACTATCTTATTAATAATATCTTAACTGCTTTAAATAACAAAGAAATTGTGGGCGGTGTTTTTTGTGATCTTCATAAGGCCTTTGATAGTGTCAACTATGATATTCTGCTTTCAAAGTTGAATCATTACAGGATTAAGGGAAGGGCTAATGATGTAATTAGATCCTATTTATCAGATAGATACCAGAGAGTAATAGTTGTTTCTGACTCAATTAAATTCTACTCTAAATGGGAGCCTGTTACCGTAGGAGTCCCTCAAGGATCCATACTTGGTCCCTTGCTTTTCCTTTTATATATCAATGATTTGCCTAATGCCATATCTGATGTAT